GCCCGGTGTGGCTTCCCTGGGCAGCCTGCGTCCCCCTCCCCCATTGTCCCGGTCTCAGGCCGTTTGCGGCTTCCAGGTTGACTTTTTTAGGGGGTTGGCTCCTACTCTGCGAGGACTGTGTGAGCCGAGCATGCGCGTTGGAGGCCTACGTGTGCGGAGTGGAAGGGGGGAGGCGGGTTGGTGGCTTCACAATGCCGCCCCACGTGCTGCCAGATTTAAAGAGAGATGAACCAGCACTTACTCCTGCTGTCCAACGCCCTGAGTGTGTCATTCTCGGTTCTGGCGATCTTCCCCCTCCCCACCCAGAGCCAACAACCTCTGGCCCTCGGCTGAAGTCGGAGGCTGGAAGGAAAAAACAAAAAAAAAACCTTTGAAAGAGTGTGAGTTTGAGGTATTAGTTAAATCACCTTTATGACTTCTTAAGGAAAAGATTGTCGGAGGGTGTTACAGATTGTATAATTAGGTTTATTATTAGACCATGAGCAAACAGCTTTGGACAAGCGTTAAAAGTTCTGGATGGTCAAGGGAGTGACTTGAAGTAAATGGAGAAGTTCTAATGATACTCTTCTACCTACCAGGAATAATATACGAGAAAAGCAGTGGAAGAATAACAACGTTATTTTGTCTTATATTTGCAAACACCCTTTTTCTTTGTCTTTTTCTTGACAAAGAAATTAAGATCTCATTTTGTCTTCCTAAGAATTCTTTAGTAAGTATTATGTGCTGAACTTTTAAATAGAACTTAAAATCAGTATTAAAACATTAGTCTTACATAATGGAAAAGATAAACATTTAAAAGGTGCAAAAGAAGTTGCGCAGTTACTGAGAATGTAAAATATGATTAGTAACAGTTTTAGCTGTACCAGTATGTCGAAACTTTGCTATTTGTGAGCCGGCTCTAGATTTTAGTGAAAACTAAAGTTTTACTTTAGCATTTTTTTTTTGACTATTCCAAACATTGATAAAGCACTTCTCACAGCTCTTTATTAATGGTTGACTTTCTGATAGGTCATTTTATATATATATATTTTTTTGGTACCTGGGATTGAACTCGGGTCCTTGCGCTTGCAAGGCAGGCCACCAAACCGCTGAGCTAAATCCCCAGCCTCTGATAGGGCATTTTAAAATATCTTTTTTGGTGGGGAGATTTCTTTTAAAATTTTTCTGTTTTGGTTTTTTGGTACCAGGGATCGAGTTTAGGACCTTGCACTTGCAAGGCAAGCAGCAGAACCACTGAGCTAAATTCCTAGCCTCCCCCCCCCCCCCCAGTTTTTTTCTTTTTGAGACAGGATATCACTATGTAGTTAAGACATTTTGAACTCACTTATGTAGTCCAGGCTGGCCTCACTCAACTCACAGCGATCCTCTTGCCTCAGCGTCCTGGGTACTGGAATTATAGGTGTGCGACACCATGCCTGGTGAAGTAGAATATATTTTAAGGTAAATGTGTGATTTAATCTTTTTTTTTTTTTTGAGTGTTTTTGTTTTTTGAGACGGTCTCACTGTATTTTAGGCTGGCCTTGAACTTGCTTTGTCATCGAGGCTGGCCTCGAAATCATAGGGATCCTCTTGCCTCAGCCTCCCAAGTTCTGGGTTTGCAGTAATTTGTATTTTTTTAGTCTCATTTTAAAGTTACTTAGCAGTATACATTCTCGCTTTGTTGAATAGAGACAATGCCCCTGTTCTTAATACTTTCTTAAAAAAAATAAATTTTTTTTCTTGGTACTGGGGATCAGACTCAGGTCTTGGGGCTTGCAAGGCAGGTGCAGTGTCACTGAGCTAAATCCCTGGCCTACTTTCTTAAAATTTTTAAGGCTTTTTAATTAATTAATTTATTATTTAGTACGAAGGATTGAACTTGGACCCTTGGGCTTGCAAGGTAGGCAGCAGAACCACTCAGCCAAACCCCTGGCCCATTAAGGCTTTTAATTAAATGTTCAAACTGTATGGTATAGAAAAAGTCAAGGCAGCTTGTTAATTGAAATTCAGAACTATTAAGTAGTTTTTTGAAAGACTCAATAACTGTTTAAAGACCTTAATTTACTGTAGTATATTGTTTGAACTTTGTGATTCTTCAAATATAATATTTTAGTATATGTGCTGCTAAAGTGAGCGCCTTGAAACATGATTTGATTTGATTTGATTTATTTATTTATTTATGGTACCTGGGATTGAACTCTGGTTCTTGGGAGGCAGGTGGTGGAACCACTCACTGAGATAAACCCCTGGCTCTTCTCAAATATAATTTGAAAATAGGAAAGAATGATAAAATGTCTCTTCAAGTCAGGGTGAATTTTTGTTAGATTTGAAAATGTTTTACAAATCTTGCAGTGTATTGAATTGAGCAGATAACACAAAACTCTTAAGCCATTTTAGCTGCTTTGATTCTAAAAGCTTTCAACAACAATGGCTCCATTTATTGGGGTCCTAGACAGCCAGTGCTAAGGATTTTAATTCATTACTTGGGAGAATTTATCAGGTGTGTTGTTTCCTTGGTCACTGTAGTGAAAAATGTACTGTATTTACTTACAGAGTGGAATGAAGTGGTTCCTTGGGTTGCAGTTTCTTACCTGTTACCAATGGTATTTGGGATGGTTAGTGATGGGGGTCCTGTACTGTGCATTATATATTGTTCAGCAGCATTCCTGGCCTCTACTCACTCCACCTAGTAGTTAGTGCACATCTTTAGTTGTGACAAGGATGTCTATTGCCAAATTGCCCTCTGAGAGAGAAAATCATTGCAGCTGTAAATAAAACCACTGTGTGAAGGTGTTTCAGTGAAGACCTTTATGGCTATTATGAAGCAAGACCGAACTCCTAATAGGGTCATGAAATCAGAAACTGTAGCTTGTATTTTTTCTCTGTGGTGTTGTTAGGTTATGATACTTTGTGAATTCAGTAGTGACAATTCAACCTTTATAATGCATTAAGTACAAATAAATTCCT